TGAAAAGATACGATAACATACATTATAAAAGGATATGAAAAAATTGATAAAGAAGATTTTTTAGTACTGTACCTTCATTGGAGATAACAAGAGGCCACTGTTGTAAATTAAAAAGTAAATAGAGCTGAAGGGAGTTATACAGAAAAAGGGGTTACTAGTCCACTGCTCCCAACATTTTAGTTGACTTTTACAACACACATGGCTTAAGTAGGAAATATTCTTATTCCACTTCCCCATGGATATGAAAGGAAAAACAATAAGAACAAGAACTATTAAGATAAAATGAAAGAAAACTCAGATGAGTGTGTATACATAAACGTGTACATGCATGTGTAGTGTGACCTAAGTGTAAGTAGAAGTAGCAAGACATATCTGAAATCTTGCATGTTTATGAGACAGAAAAAAAGACACCAGCAATCCTACCATCATGTAAAACAAACACAAGCTTCCGTTATACACTCACTTGGTAGGACGGTAGTACCTCCCTGAGTGGTTGCTGTCTACTAACCTACTACCATTATTATTCTATACAAATGGAGGGAGGGAATACTTTGAGGAATTGTTAAATGTAGATGAAGATAGGGAAACTGATTTTGTGTATAGAGCAAGGAGGAATAATATCTTGTAGGAGTGAGGAAGAGCCAGTTGTGATGTGGGGGAAGTTCGTGAGGTAGTGGGTAGAACGAAAGGTGGTAAGGCAGCTGGGATTGATGGGATAAAGATAGAAATATTAAAAGCAGAAGGGGATATAGTTTTGGAGTGGTTGGTGCTATTATTTAATAAATGTATGGAAGAGGGTAAGGTACCAAGGGATTGGCAGAGAGCATGCATAGTTCTTTTGTATAAAGGCAAAGGGGATAAAAGAGAGTGCAAAAATTATAGGGGAAGAAGTCTGCTGAGTATACCTGGTAAAGTGTATGGTAGTTATTATTGAAAGAATTAAGAGTAAGACAGAGAGTAGGATAGCAGACAAGGCTTTAGGAAAGGTAGGGAGTGTGCAGACCAAGTGTTTACAGTGAAACATATAGGTGAACAGTATTTAGATGAGGGTAAAGAGGTTTTTTGTGTCATTTATGGATTTGGAAAAGGCATATGACAGGGTGGATAGGGGGGCAATGTGGCAGATGTTGCAGGTGTATGGTATAAGAGGTAGGTTACTCAAAGCAGTGAAGAGTTTTTACGAGGATAGTGAGACTCAGGTTAGAGAATGTAGGAGAGAGGGAGATTATTTCCCAGTAAAAGTAGGCCTTAGACAAGGATGTGTGATGTCACTGTCGTTATTCAATATATTTATAGATGGGGTTGTGAAAGAAGTGAATGCTAGGGTCTTGGCAAGAGGTGTGGAGTTAAAAGACAAAGAATCAAACACAAAGTGGGAGTTGTCACAGTTGCTCTTTGCTGATGACACAGTGCTTTTGGGAGACTCTGAAGAGAAGTTGCAGAGGTTGGTGGATGAATTTGGTAGGGTATGTAAAAGAAGAAAATTAAAAGTGAATATAGGAAAGAGTAAGGTTATGAGGATAACAAAAAGATTAGATGATGAAAGATTGGATATCAAATTGGAGGGAGAGAGTATGTTTATAGGTGAATGTATTCAGATATTTGGGAGAGGACGTGTCAGCAGATGGGTCTATGAAGGATTATGTGAATCACAGAACTGATGAGGGAAAAAGGGCGAGTGGTGCACTGAGGAGTCTGTGGAGACAAAGAACTCTGTCCGTGGAAGCAAAGAGGGGAATGTATGAGAGTATAGTTGTACGAACACTTGTATGGGTGTGAAGCATGGGTGATGAATGTTGCAACGAGGAGAAGGCGGGAGGGAGTGGAGATGTCATGTCTGAGGGCAATGTGTGGTATGAATATAATGCAGAAAATTCATAGTTTGGAAATTAGGAGAAGGTGTGGGAATACCAAAACTATTAGCCAGAGGGCTGAGGAGGGGTTGTTGAAGTGGTTCGGACATGAAGAGAGAATGGAACAAAACAGAATGACTTCGAGAGTGTATAAATCTGTAGTGGAGGGAAGGCAGGGTAGGGGTCAGCCTAGGAAGGGTTGGAGGGAGGGAGTAAAGGAGGTTTTGTGTGCGAGGGGGCTTGGACTTCCAGCAAGCATAAGAACATAAGAACATAAGAACGAAGGAACACTGCAGAAGGCCTACTGGCCCATGCGAGGCAGGTCCAAGTCTCCTACCGGCTTAAGCCAATGCACCCAACCTAGTCAGGTCAGGTCACATTGACTTAAGGGAGGAACACGGCAACCGACCTGTTAGCACAAGCTATCAGGTCTAACTCACACCCACCCACATCTACTCATGTATTTATCCAACCTATTTTTAAAGCTACACAACGTTCTGGCCTCTATAACGGTACTTGGGAGTTTGTTCCACTCATCCACAACTCTATTACCAAACCAGTACTTTCCTATATCCTTCCTGAATCTGAATTTTTCCACCTTAAAACCATTGCTGCGAGTCCTGTCTAGGCTAGATATTTTCAGCACACTATTTACATCCCCTTTATTTATTCCTGTCTTCCATTTATACACCTCAATCATATCCCCCCTAATTCTACGTCTTTCTAGAGAGTGCAGTTTCAGGGCCCTTAGTCTATCCTCATAGGGAAGGTTTCTGATACATGGGATCATCTTTGTCATCCTCCTTTGTACATTTTCCAGAGAATTTATATCCATTCTGTAATACGAGCGTATTTGATAGGAGTGAATGGAGACAAATGGTTTTAATACTTGACGTGCTGTTGGAGTGTGAGCAAAGTAACATTTATGAAGAGATTCAGGGAAACTGTCAGGCCGGACTTGAGTCCTGGAGATGGGAAGTACAGTGTCTACACTCTGAAGGAGGGGTGTTAATGTTGCAGTTTTATAACTGGAGTGTAAAGCATCCCTCTGGCAAGACAGTGATGGAGTGAATGATGAAAGTTTTTCTTTTTCGGGCCACCCTGCCTTGGTGGGAATCGACCAATGTGTTAACAAAAAAAAAAAATTGTTATTCTATACAATGATTACAAGGGGAAAAAGGTGAGTGGTGCACTGAGGGGTCTGTGGAGACAAAGAAATTTATCCATGAAGCAAAGAGGGGAATGTATGAGAGTCTAGTTATACCAATGCTCTTGTACGGGTGTGAGGCATGGGTTGTGAATGTTGCAACAAGGAGAAGGCTGGAGGCAGTGGAGATGTCATGTCTGAGGGCAAAGTGTGGTGTGAATATAATGCAGAGAATCTGTAGTTTGGAGATTAGGAGGAGGTGTGGGATTACCAAAAGTATTATCCAGAGGGCTGAGGAGGGGTTATTGAGATGGTTTGGACATGTAGAGAGGCTGGAAGAAAATAGAATGACTTCGAGTGTATAAATAAACCATAGTGGAGGTAAGCCGGGGTAGAGGTTGGCCTAGAAAAGGTTGGAGGGAGGGGGTAAAGGAGGTTTTGTGTGCGAGGGGCTTGGACTTCCAGAAAGCATGCGTGAGCGTGTTAGATAGGAGCGAATGAAGATAAATGGTTTTTAGGACTTGATATGCTGTTGGAGTGTGGGCAGGGTAACATTTATGAAGGGATTCAGGGAAACTGGCAGGCCAGACTTGGAGATGGGAAGTACAGTGCCAGCACTCTGGAGGTGTGTTAATGTTGTAATTTTATAACTAGTGTAAGCATGCCTCTGGCAAGACAGTGATGGAGTGAATAATGATGAAAGATTTTCTTTTTCGGGCCACCCTGCCTTGGTGGGAAATGGCCCATGTGTTAATAAAAAACATAACAAATGATTACTCCCTTCATATCCATAGTCTCACATTTGCAAATTAGCCAATCCACTAGTTTTGTATGACATATGTCTTATTGTTATTATCTGTGGCTAGGTTCATGGATTCCCAATTCTCATACAGTATTGTGGCATTATCCTCAAGCTTCACTCCCAGAATGGCAACTTGTGTAAGGTATCATGGCATACATATATGGAAAAATACTTTGATTCCTATATTGTATCATATCTTATGTATGTTCCATACTTATTATGTCAGAAGATTCATATGTACTACTATTCAACATCTTACCAGAAGATATCAGAAACACAGCTGGAACGAGTGTAGAAGCCTTCAAGAGGAAACTGGACAAGTATCTTCATCAGGTGCCAGATCAACCAGGCTGTGATGGATATGTGGGGCAGCAGGCCTCCAGCAGCAACAGCCTGGTTGACTAGGCAAGCACCAGATGAGCCTGGCCCATGGCTGGGCTCCAAGGGTAGTGAAACTCTCGAAACTCTTCAAAGATAAGGTATATCAAAGGTACTACAATTAACCTAAAAAACAAAGTCTGACTGTTGCTATTGGAGTTCTACCCTAGACAATAGCCAACAAAGCAACTGATACCCTATCAAGGATCAGTGGCCTAATGTTAAACACCCGTGACTTTCTTTGTTAACCTCCTTTCTGTAGGATGACCAAAACTCAAGTAAAATCCGTTTCTTTAGTAACAATATAACTTAGATAGGATCTTCATATCTCTATGAACCATCATCTTAATATAGAGCAATAAAATTACTTATCTTTTTCCTTTACACATAAAGGATACAATTATATATACGCAGCTACTGTTACGACACTAGAGTTTACATAATCTCCCTCCCTCTGTTATATGCCCTTCCTTTTATTCACCCATTCACGCCCTCTCTCTCTTCCAGGTTGAAAACTGGGAGAACAATCCCTTATAATGGTTTTCTTTTTGAATTTGACAGACAACTGTTGATTAGCCATAGGAGATTAACAAAACCAATTAAAATTAAATTGAATAAGAAGAAATATAAAAAGAAATACCAAAAATGAATAAATGTAGCAAATACTTAATAATCAGAGAAATATAAAAAATACCAATACATATCTTAATCCTTAAACTGCCCAAATGTAGATCTACGTTCACTCGCGCAGCACTCCGAACATAGATCTACATTTGGACAGTTTAAGGGTTAAACACCTCTTATAAATTACTGTTCCTACCTTCCCCCGATGTTTCATAGGTATCCCTTTTCTTACGTAACGCTTCACTTTTATCCCTCGGCCAACAGTTTCCTTTGCTCCAAGCAGATGAGACCACTTTCTTGCTCTTCGTGTTAATACTGTCAAGTATTTTGACATAAATTCTTCATATGTTTGGTAATTGAAATCTGGAGGCCTCTCAAATCCATATTCATCAACATCACTACCGGTGTAAAATAAAATACAATGTAAATCACATAAATACAAGGTTCAGTAGCATTTTTAATGATGGTCCTGTCATTACACCATTTAAATGAAATTGTGAGAAATGCATATGGTACACAGGCTATTTATAAAATAGCTTACAAACATATGGATGGAGAAATAAGGAAGAAAATTTTTTTACAACATATATTCAACAACAAAAAATTAATTTACTACAGGAACAAATAGAAGAGGTGTAATGGAGAGCTACAAAATGGACACCAGAGCTCAAAAATATATAAGTTATGATGAACAACTAAAAACAGAATATGCTCAATGCTGGCTGATAGGAAATGAAAAGATACGATAACATACATTATAAAAGGATATGAAAAAATTGATAAAGAAGATTTTTTAGTACTGTACCTTCATTGGAGATAACAAGAGGCCACTGTTGTAAATTAAAAAGTAAATAGAGCTGAAGGGATACTAAGAAATTTTCTTTATAGAGTAATGGAAGAATGTAAATTGAGAGAGGAGGTAGTAATTACTGCAGCAAGAATGTAAATTGAGAGAGGGGGTAATAATTACTGCAGCAAGAATGTAAATTCACAGAGGAGGTAGTAATTACTGCAGCAAGAATGTAAATTGAGAGAAGAGGTAGTAATTACTGCAGCAAGAATGTAAATTGAGAGAGGAGGTAGTAATTACTGCAGCAAGAATGTAAACTGAGAGAGGAGGTAGTAATTACTGCAGCCATTGGAAATTTTTAAAGTTATATGAACATGTTAATAAAGATGGGACACCATGAGCACAGTTCTACTTCTGTTGCTACATAAAGATAAATGTGTAGGATAATTACAGCTATTACTATATTTTTAATACAGTATATAGCTCATTCTTGCATCAGCAGGTTTATCTGGGTTGATGTTGGGATTAAGGGCTGCCACATGTTATGCTATACTGAGCTCTACTATCTGGTATTCAGGGAGTAAATATTATTCAAATCTGGGTGGTAACAGAAAAGTGAACATGCATTACAAATTAGGCAGCTTTGGCACAGCCTGGCACTGACACTTTACCTGAGACGATGACCTCTTCCCTCAAATTCAAATTCAAATTCAAATTCAAAGTTTATTCTCTATAAGGATTACAATGCTGAGTTTACAGAATTTGGTTATTGTGTGGTTTACATGTAGTAAAATAATAATTACAGAGTGTACCACTAGAACACCTAGCATGGCTAGGCATTTCGGGCAGACTTAAATTAAATCTTAAGTTTAAAATATTACAAAATTATGAGGTAAGTTGGTATTATGGCTAAGTGACTAAATACTAGTTTGTGAGTTTAGCAATGTGAATGCTTTTGTTTTGGCACTATACATAGTTTCAGTATTGGAGTATCACAGGCCAACTTATGACTAGTTAAGATTCATTATTTTGAGATTGAGATTGATATTTCTGTTTATGGTCAAATGGGTGAGTGAGTGTAAGTGTTAACCACCAGGTGGTATTCGTGTAATTAGTTGACAGGGTGTATCAGGGAGATAAGATGTTTTCTGATGGTAGTTTTGAAGGTGATGAATGTGTCTGCAGTTTTAGAATTTTCAGGTAGGGTGTTCCAGATTTTAGGGCCTTTGACATACATTGAATTTTTGTAAAGGTTTAGTCGGACACAGGGAATGTCATAGAGATATTTGTGTCTGGTATTGTGCCTGTGGGTTCTGTCGCAACTATCAAGAAAGCGTTTTAGGTCAAGGTTAATATTGGAATTTAAGGTCCTGTAGATGTAGATTGCACAGTAGTAAGTGTGGATGTACTGAACAGGGAGTAAGTTTAGATCTATGAAGAGGGGGGGGGTGTGTTGCCAGGGATGGGATTTAGTGATTATTCTTACTGCGGCTTTTTGTTGGGTTATTATTGGCTTTAGGTGTGTTGCTGCAGTTGAACCCCAAGCACATATAGCATAGGTGAGGTATGGATATATAAGTGAATGGTATAGTGTGAGAAGGGCAGTTTGCGGCACGTAGTATCGTATCTTGGAGAGGATCCCAACCGTTTTGGATACTTTTTTGGTTATGTGTTGGATATGGGTGCTGAAGTTCAGGTTGTTGTCGAGGTATAGGCCTAGGAATTTGCCCTCATTATGCCTGGCAATTAGTGTTGTCGATCTTAATGTTAATTTGCGCATCTCCTGCTCTGCTACCAAACATAATGTAGTAGGTTTTGTCAGTGTTAAGTGTAAGTTTATTGGCTGTCATCCAAGTCGATATTTTGATCAGCTCCTCATTAACAATGGTGTTGAGGGTGGCAAGATTAGGGTGAGAGATGACATAAGTCGTGTCATCCAGAGAGGTAAAAAAAAAAAAAAAAAAAAAAAAAGAGATCATGAATGGTGCCCAGACTGATTTCCCAGTGAGTAGAGAACAAGCATCCCAGGAAGAGAATAGGGATGGGGACTGGTTAACCCTTTCAGGGTCCGTCCCGTAGATCTACGGCTTTACGGTGAATGTCCAAACCGTAGATCTACGCCATGAGCTCAGCTCACTCTGATAAACTGTGAGTGGTATATTTGGGCCTAGATATGAGAGAATACATCTATGTGGTATGTGTGCACCACATAAAACAGATCCTGCAGCACACTGTGTATAATGAGAGAAAAAAACTGAAATCATGATTTTTCGATTAAAACAGCGACTTTGCAGTGTTTTTTCGTATGTTTTTTTATAGTTGTATTTGCGATTTCTTGGTCTCATTTGATAGAATGGAAGACATATTACAGAAATAGAGATGATTTTGATTGGTTTTAGCACTGGAAATGGCTTGAAACTGAGCTCAAAGTAGCGGAAATGTTAAATTTTTGCCGATATTCAAGAGTAAACAAACGACCTCACACATCTAATACACGTCAGCTGGTGGGTCTAATATACATTCACAAATATGGTGATGATATTTATACAATTATTACTGTATTGCATAACAGTAAATCTTCTATTTTTTGGTGTGAATAAAAATTCATTATGTGAATAAAAAATCAAAATGGAATTTATTTGTAAAGCCTCAAAATGTAACTAATGAACAGAGGAAATATTAGTTTAGTTCCAGGAATACCTACATTGTTTATTCTGGAGCCTATTTTGAAATTGGAATATTTTGAACTTTGTGTTAAATTGGCCAAATTAACAATTTCCGATCACTTTATTTTGTAGTTGAAACAGTTGACTTGGCGATTTCTTGTGTTCAATCGATAGAATAGAAGTAATACTAGTCAAATAGCTAAGAATTTGGTTGATTGGAATAATGTAATTGGCCTAAAATGGGAGTCAAAGTCGGCAAAATCGCCGATTCGTAAATATCGCTGACACATCAAAATTCGCGAGAGCATAATTTCGTCAATTTTCCACCAAATTTCGTACTTTTTGTTTTATTACCTTCACAAAAAGATTCTCTACGATTTCATAAGAAAAAAATAACAATTTTTTTTTTTTGAAAATTCTTGGACACTGGTGCGTGACTTCAGATTTTGGCCTTGGACCCTGAAAGGGTTAATGGTTGGTTAAAAACCTTTCAACTACACAAGGGTCACTGAGGCTTGCACATAACTCTTCACAACTAGACAAGAATATTTTAATACCAAAAATATGGATGAAAGTAAACTCTCAGTATATATATATATATATATTATATATATATATATATATATATATATATATATATATATAGTATATAATATATATATATATAATATATTATATATATATATATATATATTATATATATATATATATATATATATATATATTATATATATATATATATTATATATATATATATTTTATATATATATATATATATATATAATATATATATATATATATATATATATATATATATATATATATATGCTGTTTAAATAATACTTTATGCAGTACAAATTAACAAATTTCTTGCCTTCAATTTACAAAAATTGCAGAGATGTACAGGTGGTTGCCAGTAACCCTACATTTTAAAACAAGACCTTATTTATACATATATGTACAAAATGTAAGACCGTAAAATACAGAGGAGGGTCATTACATTAAGGTAAAGCATCATAATACCTTATCCTAGCGTCAGCAGGTCTGGCCATCCTGGCGTGTTTACCTCCGCCTCCCACCACCTTCATAATTAAAAAATATATATCATTTGTCACCTCATGCTCAAAATTTGGTATTGTCTGGAATTTCTAAACACTTAAAAAACTTGTAAAATTTAATATTTTACAAATTTACTTTATACCAGCTACTGCCGTAGCAACTGTCAATTTTTTTAGAACTAACTTGAATGTTAATAGAAATTAATATTAATCATATAAAATTTTATATTGTTGTGCCAGGAAATAATAAATACCACTGAAACATCCATTTATAAGTAGATGGTAAAATATTTCCATAAATTCCTTATTGTAATGGTAATGGGTGTTAATGTGTGTAAGAGAGAGGGAGAAAGTGTGATAATTATCAGTAACGTGAGCCGGGATTAATTGATCAGCTCAGCAGTAGTGGTGATGGCGCCCACGGTGACTCGCCGCAGCGGCTTTCCTCATACTAGGAAGGACAAAGAGATTCTGAAGCGGTACGCTAGTGTTTTAAGAAACTCCTAAGCTACCAGCGCCCCTGTGGTGGATCACAGTAGCCTTGCCGCTAGAGATAACCTTGGGGGTTCTCACTGCTCAAACTGGAGCTAGTATGGAGATCCGGTCCTTTTGAGAAATTTATTTATTTATTTATTTATTTATTTCCAATTTGAGCACACATACAGAGGTACAAAAAAATACAGATAAGAGCAGCATGCCAAAGCCACTTATACTATGCATAGCATTACGGGCTGGCTTAAAATTAACTTAAGATTAACTAAGCAATGATGAAATCAGTGATAAAACATTAATGTAAACAGATTACTATAAAGCACAAGTGAGTATTACAAAGACAGGTCATATGGTTGCATTCAGTTAGGTAGTGATTCTGTTAGGTAGTGTATTTAAAAAATAATAAAGTTAGATTGGGTTTTAGGTTTAACATTTATGTGATATAATTGTGAGAAAACATTTAAGATATACAATTTATAAGGTTCAGTTATTCAGTATTTATTTGGTTTTGGGTGAGTAAGTGATCTTTGAGAAGAGACTTGAATTTATAAACAGGTAGTGTTTCTTTTATATTTACAGGTAATGAATTCCAGATTTTAGGGCCTTTTATGTGCATTGAGTTTTTGCATAGTGTGAGATGGACACGAGGAACATCAAAGAGTGATCTGTGCCTTGTGTTATGGTCATGTGTTCTGTTGAGGTTGGCAAGGAGATGTTTGAGGGGAGGGTTAATATCAGAGTTAAGTGTTCTATGTATGTAATAGGTGCAGTAATAAGTATGGATGTTTTGTATGGTGAGTAGGTTTAGTGTATTGAATATTGGTGGAGTGTGCTGCCTGTAGTGAGAATTTGTTATCATTCTAACTGCAGCCTTTTGTTGGGTGATTAGTGGTCTGAGATGGTTAATTGTTGTTGAGCCCCATGCACAAATTCCTGACTGTGGAACATAGTACCGTATCTTCGATAGTATGCCTACAGTCTTGGAAATTTTCTTAGAAATTTGATGTATATGTGTATGAAATTTGAGTCTATTATCAAGGTGGATTCCTAAGAATTTTCCCTCTGTTAGTTTTGTGATAGGTGATCCATTTATCATTATGTTAAGAGGGACATCTGTAGCTCTGTTACCAAACTGAATGAAGTAGGTTTTGTCAATGTTTAGTGTAAGTTTGTTAGTCCTCATCCAGGTAGATATTTTCTGTAATTCGGTATTTACAGTATTGGCTAGCGTGACTGGGCTCGGGTGAGAGAAGACGTATGTAGTGTCATCTGCAAATAGTGAGGGTTTGAGTAATTGCGAAGCATTTGGAAGGTCATTTATGTATAGGAGAAAGAGAAGAGGGCCAAGGACACTTCCCTGTGGGACACCAACTGTAATTGGTTGCGCAGAAGAGTTTGCCCCATTTGCGTACACATATTGGCTTCTGTTGCTGAGGTATGACTTGAGGTAGTTGAGGGAGTGCCCTCTTATACCATAGTGTGACAATTTTACGTGGAGCAAGTCGTGGTCAACTGTATCAAAAGCTTTACGTAAGTCAATGAAGATCCCCAATGGGACTTCTTTTTTCTCTATTCCAGTGTATATATGTTCTAGCATGTGTATAATAGCATCATTAGTATTTTTATTAGGCCTGAATCCAAATTGGCAGGGGTTGAGTATGTTTTGGGAGATAAGGTAGGAGTAGATTCGTTTATGAATTAATTTTTCGAAGATTTTTGAGAGAGGGTGTAAGTTGGATATTGGCCTATAGTTATTCAACTCTGTTTGGTCTCCTCCTTTGTGGATCGGGATGACCCTTGCTATTTTGAGTACTGTAGGGAAGGTGGAGGATTCAATGGATTTGTTAAAGAGTGTTGCAATGATTGGTGATAGCACTTGTGACACTTTTTTGTATATAAAGGGTGGTAAGGTATTTAAATCTCCTGCCTTGTTTTTTAGTGCGTTGATAATAAGGGAGACTTCGTATGGGTTAGTCGGAGCTAGGAACAGTGTGTTCGGGTAGTTGCCGGTGAGGTAGTCATTTGGTGGGGTATCTGAGCTTGGATTTTATTGGCAAGGTTTTGTCCTATAGTGGAGAAGAAATCATTGAGTCTGTTTGCTGTTTCTGTTGGTGGGAGTTGGGGTTCATCTGATTTTGCTAATTTTATTTCGCTATTTCGTGATATCTTTTTTTGTTCCCAGAATTTCTGATAGGGTTTTCCAGGTCTTTTTTATATCACCTCGTAAGTTGGATAATCTGTTCTCATAATACAATATTTTTGCCCTTCTTATCAGGCTGGTTAGGATTGACGAGTAACGTTTTGTTTGGTCTCTGGTTATGTGACCCATTCTGTACTGTTTTTCATATTGGTGTTTTGTATTTATGGATTTGAGAATGCTGGGTGTTAGCCAGGGACTGTTCAGTCTCTTTGCTGTCATCTGTTTAGTTTTTTTAGGGCAGTGCTTGTTATAGAGGTATTGGTTTTTTTTTAGAAAATTATTAATACATTCGTCAATATCTGTATAGGTTTCTAGCTCAGTGTGCCAATCAATGTTTGCTATTGCTGTTGTGAAGTTATTAATGGCTGCCTCATTGTGAAGTCTGAAGGTGACTTTAGTAGTGTCTTGGGGTAGTTTACCAAGAGTTGTTATGAGGAAAGTAGGGTAGTGGTCTGTGGTATTATCTGTAATTATGCCTGATTTTAAAGGGGATATGGTGTTGGTCCAGATGTGGTCAAGTAGGGAAACACTAGTCTCTGTAACTCTTGTAGGTTTTGTTACTGTTGGTAGTAACATACAGTTACTCATTGTGTTTGTGAATTCAGTAACGTGTGGGTCCTGGTCTTGCAGGAGATTTATATTGAAGTCACCTGAGAGTAGTAAGTGATCTTTGTTCATGCGTGCATCAGTTATCCTACTTCCTAGATTTTGACTAAATTGGCTAATGTTTGACTGTGGAACTCTGTAGATGTTTATCAATGTGAGAGGTTTTTGTAGGTACTTTGATTTGAATTTAGCTATTATATATTCCCCATGTTCATCCCTTGTGCAAGTATTAGTGATACATTCTAGTTGGTCTGAGTAGTATATGGCTGTGCCACCCCCTTGTTGGTCTGGCCTACAGTTGTGTATGGCTGTGTAACCAGGAATGGCATAGACATCTGTACTATCAGGCTTTAGCCAGGTTTCAGTTAGTGTAATGATGGACATATTGGCATGTAAGGAATTTAGTAATGCTATGAGGTCATCGTAATGCTTGCTTAAAGATCTGATATTGTAGTTAAAGATAGTTATGTTGTTGTTGGCACTGAGAAGTGCCTTTGATTGTTCTGCAGTGTAGTAATTACAGTAACTGTTTGATTCATTTAAGTCATTAAATAAGAGGTTGGTATCAGGATCAATGCTTGTAATCATAAGATTTGTAGTGAATCTATAGTTTGAATTAAGTATAAAACAAAGTAAATAGTCTTAAGCTAAAAAATTGCGCATTATCTTTCATAAAATATGAGCATGGTGTCTATACACTTGATGATTAAGACACATTCGCAACAGTTGATTATCTGACCTCTTCTCCAGGCTTAGGGACTGACCACCTCAAATATTATTTCATCAAGATTGACTAATTATATCTTCATTTCTCCACTACACTTGCTGCCTCTGTATTTGACTGAAGAAGCCTACTGTGTAGGCGAAACGTTTCATAAGTAAAGATACCCAACTGTTGCACATGTCTTAATCATTGTCGTTATTTTATACCATTTTCAACATATCTGTACCCTTATTTTGGAACATTAAGTATGTATTCCTTTCGAGATTGATAGACTGATTACATCGACTCCAGGTTGAGGGTCTGATTACCTACAACTCTTTCTGATCTTCATCACTCTTCTTTGTATTGGACTAATGAAACCACTGTGTGGTGAAATGTTTCCTCAGTAAAGATAGCCAAGTGTTGCACATGTATAATTTATCAACAATTAGTATTGACTCACTGGCCAGTCCATGAATGTTAACAAAGCCAGATCAGATGCAATGAAAGACGCCAATCCCATATCTACAGCAGGCAGAGTAGGGTTAAAGATAATATAAGATTTGCTCGGATTTTTAACACGGAGGGTTGGCAACCCAGGATAATCCAAAAAGTCACTGTGTCATTAATGACTGTCTCTAATTTCCATTGGGGCTTTACACATCTTATTTATCTGCTCTACTGCTATTTATCCTGTTATAATACTACTGTTATGCCACTGCTGATCAAATATACCACTACTGCTGTAATACTCCTACTGTTTTACTACTGCATTACTACTGTTCTACAACACTGCTGGTGTTCTAATATACTACACTCCTACTATACTACTACAATTGTTCTATTATATTACTACTGCTCTTTTTATATAGTTCTATTGTTTTACTATACATCTGTTGCTACTGTATAATTTTTCAGACTATGGTACTTTTTGGGAATGTTTTGAAAAACCTTGCAACACTATTTAAAGCCCAAAGTATGCACAACATCTCATGCACCCAGTTTAAGTATGGAGCTTATGTGAAGAACAAAATACAACAACAACAAAAAGCACTTAAAACACAACAAAAAACTAGTAATTTTTATTTAATACTTATAGGAACACAAGAATAGAAGAGCACTGCAGCAGGTCTCATGGCCTATGCTAGGCAAATCCTTTTTAAACCTAACACTTCTCACTCATATTTAACCAACCTATTTTTAAAGCCAATTTAGCTTTTTAACTGCATATTTAGTGCATATTTTGCAACTGTTACTCTGTTTTGTTTTATATTATGTAGAATTTAACCTAGTATAATTCAGTAGTCAGTGTGACTGATTTCCATTAGGGGACCTATATAATACAGTGGAACCCTGGATTTTGGCTGTAATCCGTTCCAGAAGGTCGGCCTTAATCCGAAAAGGCCGAAAACCGAAGTAATATATCCCATAAGAATTAATGTAAATACAATTAATCCATTCCAGACACCCAAAAATAT